TTTAGGATTTTAAAAGCTAAGTTTGTCATCGCGGTCCAAGTACGGCCTAGTATTATGCAAACTCTTAGCACTTTTAGCATTCTTGCATTCAACTTTCTCCGAAACGACTGAGCAAACGGATATGATAGCCTTACTGGACAGTTTTGATTCGTCAGTTTACGGCTTAATTTTCTGGTGGTTCGGTAAATATGAATTACTGTGTGTTATGATGACAGAAGGTTACTGGTTTGCAGGTTTGTTTAACTTTACTGAAATACGCCTCCAGAACACGATACTATGCTCAGCTGTTTGTCTGTCTGTGCTTTTGGAAGTGTGTGGGCGGTTGTTACTTCCCGACTGCCCACACCGTGGAAGTTGATTGATTCTTCGGGTATCTGAAACAGAATGAGGCTGTGTTGCGTGACCACAGAGCCCAGGGGACAGCTGCTTGAGGCCGGTCACACACGGCCTGTTTGAACTGGTTTCTGGAATTGGTTCCGTATTAGTAAACTTACCGCCGGTTACGGACTACGTAGGGTAAGTCGGGATGTACAATTTTTGGGGTCGACCTTTTCTAACCCCCTCTCTCCAGAGTGGAGAGACAGCATAGTTGGCTGGCATGCTGGTCATCTGAGGGAAACACCTCACTGCTGTTACACCCCTGTTCCCCAGCAATACGACTTCGCCCTCAGAACCCCAGTATACTGTAAGAAGGATTCTTACACAATGCTGGTAACTGCTTTTAGTTTAATCGCTATCCTAACAACCTTCCTGGCATGGTCTGTCTGTCTGTCTGTTTTCGACATAAAACTTTGTACAAATGTGCACCAGTTCAAGTCGCCACACTCCCTCCTTGTAGCACACAAAGCGAGAGAAGAAAGTAGAAGAAATGTATAATAGAGACAGTAAACAGAGGTGTGAGACAAAGAAAGAGTATTAACGAAGAACAAAACAGTTTCATTGGAAATCATAAGTCACAAAGAGTGGATGCATCTGCGCCACTGAGAACGATTTTGAGCCATGTTACCAATTGTTTCCAACCATTGGTTTTTACCGTTCCGAGGACCCCAACCAGGAAGCCAGTCTACACCTTCCAACGTGGCTTAAACTAACTGTTATAGATTTCAGTGACTGATGAGGCCATGTTTTAGTTTGACCGCCGCTAGCTCTTTTCCAGCCTGACCCTATGTCAGCTAACATTGTCCGTTAGTCAGGGAAGGCGATGATTAGGCATACGTAACACATGTCCTAACCAAGTCAGTCTTTGCAACTTCACAACCTCGTCGATTGATTTCCCTCATTACCTAGAACTCGACCGAAGCCTCACCTCAATATTGCTCACCTTATTATGCCACTTCACACGGGAGGGAGATAGAACGCAGGCACCTATGATCAAACACAGCTAACCGGCCTCTTCATGTCTTCCACTCTCATTCTGTCTGTTTTCGACATAGAACTTTGCACAAATGTGCGGAAGTTCAAGTCGCCACACTCCGTGTAGCACGCGAAGCAAGAGAAGAAAGTACAAGAAAAGCATAATAGAGACAGTGAGCAGAGGTGTGAGACAAAGGAGTAATAAAGAAATACAAAACAGTTTCATTGAAGATCATAAGTCACAGGGAGTGGATGCATCTGCGCCACTGAGAACGATTTTGAGCCATGTCACCAATTGTTTCCAACCATAGATTTTTACCGTCCCGAGGACCCCAGTCAGGAAGTCTACACCTTACTACGTGGCTTAGACCAACTGTTGTGGATTTCATTGACTGAGGTCATGTTTTGGTTTGACCGCCGCTAGCTTTTTTCCAGCCTGACCCTATATCCGCTAACATTGCTCGTCGAGGGAGGCGATGGCTTGGCATACGTAACACATGTCCTAACCATCTCAGTCTTTGTAGCTTCACGACTTCGTCGATTGATTTCCCCTGTTTACCTAGAACTCTACGCCTAACCTCCATGTTGCTCACCTTATTATGCCACTTTACACGGGAAATAGAGCGCAGGCACCTATGATCAAAGACAGCTAGTCTTTTCATGTCTTCCACTCTCAGTGGCCAGGTCTCACAGCCATGAAGGAGGACGGAGCGGACTGATGAGCAGTACACCCGCCCTTTGGTCGATAGTCGAACATCTCGTCTACGCCAGAGTCGGCGTAAACTAACAAATGCGAAACGAGCCCCTTGTATTCGTGCTGAGATTTCGTCAGAGATCAGCCCGTTGGGGTTGATGGTACTTTCGAAATAAGTGAAGCGGTCAACGTGCACTACCACTTCACTTCCTATTTTTAAACTAGGCGTCGATGTAGTCCAGTCCTGTAACATCATCTTGCATTTGGCGGGAGCGAATCGCATGCCAAACATTCGTAGATTGCTGTTCAAGGTGTTCAGAAGACTCTGCATTTTGTCAGCGTCTTCGCCTAGAAGGACTATATCGTCTGCATATTCCAAGTCAACGAGATTATTCCCCGGTAGCAAGTCAATCCCTGAATCGCTGAAGTCACCTAGGGTTAAGTCCATTAACACATCTATGATGAAGTTGAATAGAAAAGGAGATAATGGACATCCTTGACGGACACCACTGGTCGTCATCAGTTCAGATGACAGCTCGCCGTAAGCCCTCACCTGGCTGCATGAGTACGAGTAGAGTGCCTTAATCAGTGCAATATATTTTCTTGGAATTCCCTTTACAGCCAAGCATCTCCAGAGAACTTCCCGATCGACAGAGTCGAATGCTGCCTTTAGGTCAAGAAATATAATGACTGTTGGACGCCGGTAGGAATGCCTATGTTCTAGAATCTGTCGGAGGGTGAAGATATGATCAATACACCCTCTTCCTGGTCTAAAGCCTGCTTGGCTCTCTCGTGTTTGTGCTTCCCGAGCACCACTTAGTCTACGTATGATTATTGAGCCTAAGACTTTAGATACTATATTAGTCAAGCTAATCCCTCTGTGATTATCACAGGAAGACTTGTCTCCCTTCTTGTATATGGGGATAATCAGTGACTTACACCAACCCGATGGGACTTCTTTTGATTCCCAGACGCTGCCTAGTACCTCAGTTAATCCGGACAGTAAGCTGTCTCCACCGTACTTAAATACCTCTGGCGTCATTCCATCAGGTCCCGCTGCTTTGCCTAGTTTCAGATTGGTGACAGCTTTAGTAACCTCAGTTAGTGACGGAGGACCTGTGTCTATATCCCATTCAGGGAGGTGTTGGATGCTCGGAAGGTTGAGCGTGGCTGTGGGCCAATTAAACTGCTCCTCATAATGCTCTTTCCAACGATCCAGTCGTCTATCCTGTGAGCTAATTATAGTGCCATTTTTTTCCGAGATTGTCTCACTAATGATTTGTCTTCTCCCACCCGTTTCCCTGATGAGTCCAAAGAGTTGACTGGTGTTGCCTATCCTCAAAGCTTTCTCCATCTCTTTGGCTTTTGTCGCCCACCACTGTTCACGGTCCTTGCGGAGACTTTTCGTAAGTTTCCTCTTGTGCAGCTTTCGCTCCTCATTGAATTCGGAGCTCGCCGGAATAAGTCTTCTAGCATCTATCAGTTCGGATGAGGCGGTGGAGATCCAGTGGTTTTTACTCACCTTTGGGTTTACCTTATTCACAGCTTTTACAGCTGTATCTATGGCTGCCTGGATATTTTTCCAAGCTTCTTCAGGGTGAGCACAGCTGTCGAACACAGATATGTGTTTAGCTAGTTCTTCCTCAAATACGGATTTAGTTTCCTGATCGAGCTGGGGACGTGATGGTTTTACCGCCAGCTGTTTCCTACGTCCGTTCAGTCGTAAGCACACCCGAGCGCGGACCAGCGCATGGTCGGTATCTACGCACGTGTTCCAGAAGGAGCGGCAATCTCCTACCGACCCACGCCAACGATAGCTTATTGCTATGTGGTCTATTTGTGTCCAGCGTTGGTTTGACGAAGGGGGTCTCTAAGTCAAACAGTGTCTTTCCTTGTGTTTAAAGTTAGTGCTTACAAGAAACAAATGATTATCAGAGCAGAACTGTAGGAGACGGTCACCGTTGTCGGTTCGCTGTCCACTCTCATTGGCCACGTCTCACAGCCATAAAGGAGGATGGAGCGAACTGATGAGCAGTACACCCACCCTTTGGTCGATGGTCGAACATCTCGTCTACGCCGGAGACGACGTAAACTGGCATATGCGAAACGAGCCCTCTGTATCCGTACTGAGATTTCGTCAGAGATCAACCCGTTGGCACTGGCTGATGGTACTTCCCAAATAAGTGAAGCGGCCAACGTGCTCTACCACTTCACTTCCTATTTTTAAACTAGGAGTCGTTGTAGTCCAGTTCAGTAGCATCATCTTGCATTTGGCGGAAGCGAATCGCATACCAAACATTTGTAGATTGCAGCTCAAGGTGTTTAGAAGACTCTGCATTTCGTCAGCGTCCTCGCCTAGTAGGACTGTATCGTCTGCATATCCTGGCATGGTAGGACATGCAGGAACATTGGTTCCAGCCACTTTAGCTTGTTAGGTCATTGCGATGTGCAAGCCCGGTGACCACCACGTCAAGGTAGCAGCTATCGGTCGGGATGCCCAGCTGACCACTTGAAATTATCTCCCTCACTGAGATAGACAAAAAGACCGGACGGCGATGACGATGGAAACAACAACGACCTTCATTAAACAACACACATGGTATATTATACAAAACCTCAGAAATTGGGCCGTAAAGAAACCAATCAAAATTGTCCAATCGGGTTATCTTGTCAGGGCATGTATATGTGATGACTTGACAGCTAACAAAAAAGCTTACATATCCTAAGAGAAGTCTAACTATACTACTAGTAAACTGCTCCAACTCTTTATAGTTGGAGCGGAATTCGAATCTGTGACCCTCTAGTTAGAGGATGTTGAGAGCCTAAAACAATGAGCCACAGCTCCGTTCCTCCTGATGAATAAAAATTAATAGTTATATTTATAATCTTTTTTTCTTGTTTTCATGTAAAATTTCTGCTGCTCAATTTATTTTTTTAAATTGAAATTATCAAGGAGTTGGATTTCATTGAAGGTCAACAACGTGAACTGGAAAGTCTACTTGAACCGTTGGAACGTGCTGTCAATGAATTACCACCGGGTCATTTACACTCAGATTATGAACGTGAAGCAATCTTCCAGTTGGCTACAAATGTTGATCTTGAATTGGGCCAGTTATTGTCTGATTTACGTGAAATTGCTGATCAAACGAATAGTACAACTGCGTCATCTGCTGTAACAGTACTGAATAATAATAATAGTAGTGGTGCTTCATCAACTGTCGCTGGTGGCAGTGCTATAAACTCGGTAAATTCATTGGATGACTCTAAAAAGGATAATATTACTACTAATAATAATGGAAAGAAAAGTTCAGGCAATAATAGTGCAGATGTTATGAATCAAATTACACGTATTCTTAATTGTCATATGCATTCATTGAATTGGATTCATCATAATACGCGTAAGTTTAAATAGTGCGCATTAAACTTTGTGGTCAAGTTAAACTTTAAGCACCATTAACTAATCACCAATCAGCGAACGACCTTCAACGGATCAGTCACATGAAAGAGAGATTTTCAATTATAGAAAACATATATTTATGGGGGAAAAGTATAAATGCTGCATAAAACTGTTACATAGGGTATGTTTCTCTAACATGTGACAGAAACATCTTCCAGTTTTAGTATAGGAGTGGCAGGAGAAAAGTTACACCACATCCTATACGTATATTCATCTAAATGACTATAAATGACATTCTTCTGAGATCCGTTTATAGCCCTAATCCTATGTTTTTAATCTTCCCCAAAATCCTTCTATAGAATTCGTGTGTGTCCCTGTGATGGGATCCACGAAATCACTAGAAATGGTTCAATCTGTGTGATAAATACATATCCAAGGGATGATAGCGCGAGTTATAACCTTTCCATTCATCGGTGTGTACTATAGATCCCTGTTTCACCTAGTCGAGTGACAATAGGTACTAAGGTAGTAGTAGACTTTCTACAGGGGGAGGTGTCATATAAACCGATCACGACCACCATGGTTGTATTTTTTCTTCAATAAGACAGGTTCGTCCACGTGTACGATGACACCTTCTCCGCCTAACAACGAAGTAATTCTCTCCTCTTTTCATGAGGCGATGTCTCCACAGTGCTGGTACCACTGAACTGTTGACGTGAGGCTATTTTCGGTTTCAGCAGCTGCGCCTCTCACAGGTTGTTTTGAAACCCAGTAGTTACAAATATACAAATCTGGGTTGAGGAGAGATGCGATCTAGCAAAAGATGTTCCTACAAAATACTGGAATCATCAGCTTACCTTGTGCGTCGGTGGTATATAGCGGTTAGGGTGCTCGCTGACCATCCACATGGTCCGGGGTTCGATCCCCGGCCACCGATGCACTCCTTTACCTCGCTAAGCCAGAAATAATGTTGGTAAAGAGGAAAGGTTTGGCATAAAGCTGGCTAGCAGCAACCCCATCTTGTAAAATTAAACACTGCTACAGAAACTTCAAGCCACTAGCTTGAAGGTGCCCTATGTTCCACTGGGGAACGTGAAAAAAAACCCAGCTTACCTTGCTTAATAGTAACTCGTCTGAAGAAAATTGCACAACGATGGATATATCCACCAATCGACCTGCTAAAGCTCTTTAAACTCCACATGAACAAGTCCTCTCCTTCCTAAGCAACCTCGAATCTAGACAATACTGCAAAACCATAACCCTCATCAAACTGCAAGCGTAACTTCGTTAGAGCAGGAATTTGACGCGAAACAAGCGGAATACAACTTTGAACTCATATGGATGAACCTCATTGGATCTCATTCGAAGTCATTCACTGATTGGTTAGTTAGTGGTGCTTCAAGTTTAACTTGGCAAACTTTGTTATTTTATTAGGTTTGTATATGCGTGCGCGTGTGTGTTAGTGGTTTGTTATATCCTGGTGTTGAGTTTGAATAACCTTCATCACTGTTCATGGTACGACACCGACCTGCGAAGTTTTTGACTTATTGGCTATGCACACAACCATTCCTCACGGAGATAGATGCTAACTGCTTAGCCTGAACACATTGGGATGTACAGAATTAAAGATGTGTGTAAATTGCTGGTGACAGCTTAAAACTGTTCATCTACCTCATGTTCCCTGTTGTCATTCAGACAATCAAGAATGTAACATTGGTGGAAATAACAGACTATATCCTGCGAAGAAAATTTTCGCTGATGACAAAGTGATCTTCACCGACCCTGCGGTTGTATCTGTGTTCGCTAAAATTTATCGTTTGCCACCCACTGACTAAGTGGTAAATTGGAGATGCTGGGGTTCGATCCCCATAGGAGGTTATTGGTGCGTATTGTTTGAGGAGTTTGAAACTAGGACGACAAAACCATCTAGTACTTCCTGGTCTCGTGGGTCGAGTTCGATTTACAGTTGACGGATTCCTTAATCTCATCGTCCACTGGCGAGGGGTATGAGGCTTGCCACTCCCCTCCGTCCCATAGGGACAACACCCCTGCTACTTGAAACTTCAGGACCTTGAGGTCCTATGTTCCACTTTGAATGGAACGCAGGAAATACAGTGTACCAGTTAATACACAGCTAACCAGAAGTGATGTTCAAAGGTGGGAAAAATGATGTAATAGTCAACAAGACAATGTAATGTAATATCGTCTAGGGATAGTGTAAAAGCAGAAGAAGACACGAGAATTTGGTAACGGAATTATTTATTGACTACTCAATGCACAGATATACGAACTAAATACATCTATCGTATATTAGAATCACAATTTGCATGTGTTCGGTATTGTTCTACTTTGTTTTCCTTTCATATTTAACATATTGTCCATATGCTACTTACAAATCGCTTCAGTAGCACGAACTAGAAAAATCATTTTGCAACTGAGGTGATGTGCAATTTCAGTAGGGGTGTAAATTTTCGTTGGGTGGGAGCGCCAGCGGCATTTTCAATCTTCCGTCTTTTCCAGGCAGGCATTCTGTTATTGTGAGCTGACATCGGTTAGAAAACCATTGGAAGACCTGAGAGCACTGAACATCTAGCTGTTGCGTCCTAGTTTGGGACTCTTCATCAGTACGCATCCACCCCCAAGGTTCGGACTCAAGATCTTACGGTTACAGGACGAGCTCGTAGTCCATTAAGTCACTGTGAGGACCTGTTACAATGCAATAACCAGAACCATGAATTCCAAATTCTGCCAATTGACAATATAGAATCGTCACTAGCCAATGTTACAGTCGAGTATTTCGCCCTCACAACCGACCTGCTATACCCTACTAGTCGTGACTTCTCTTATAGAACCTAGGTAACTACTACCTGGGACCCTGTATAGGGCCAGTCGATACTGAGCGTCAGATTGTTATTCATTTGTTGCTTTTCAAGTGTTGTGTTCGATAGAGGGGTCACAGTGGCTTAATGGTCTATGAGCTCATCCTGTAACCAGAATGTCCTGGTTTGAAATCCTGGCAGTGGGTGCATACTGATGAAGAGTCCCAAACTAGGCTAGTGAAACATCTGTTCAGTACTCCCTGGTGGTGTTTCAATGGTTCTCTAACAAACGATGTCAACTTGTGATGAAATCCTGTAACCAAATCAAATCAACACTTAGACATCTCTGTTATCGATTGACGGTTAAAATTTGTAGTTTTTTTTTTAACTGCCTTACGGCCTTGTTAATACATTGGTTTAACAAATTCATGTTATCATGCTGTGCGAAATGTATTGAATTAATTATTTTTAAGCATTTTGGTAATATTTTTCTCTCTCTCTCTCTCTTTGTTGTGTTCTCGCTTTCTTTCATCATTCAATCTGTCTCTCCTGTGAAAAATCATGTCACATTAACAAACACAGAAGAAATAATGGATCGTTTGAAAATGTTGAATGGTGTTTCATAAAATTGACCTTCAGTGCAATAAATTGCTTGTGTTTGTTTACACAACTCCTATGTGTTATTTTGATATATATTCAATCAGAATAAAGATATCTTTGAACTCTCTTCAGTTGACTTTTTGAATATATTCTTGTTTGTGGATGTAGTTCCTGATTGACTTGAATTATTGATCAATTATTATTATTATTATCATTATTATTATTAATTAAATACCTACTTAGTAGTAAAGTATGAGCACCAAGATATGCTCTACACATTGTGTGAGTGCTGAGATACCTCCTGTCTGCGGATGCTCAAATGAGGGTGGCAGGTGGCCATCGCGTCCTCCACGGACCATCTTCGACTTGATCCATGAAACAGCAAAGTGGTGCATCACACTATCTGCTTTATTATGGTTGTTGATAACCAAAACAAGTTGGTAGGCCCTTTTTTATCACAATGTTTAACTCTTCTAGTTGGAACTCCATGTCATGTCCACCAGTCTGGTGATAGGCACCGAGTCTTCTATTGAGAGTAGAAGGCATGAGAAGGCTGGCTACCTGTCTTTGATCATAAGTACCTGCGCTCTATCTCCCGTGTGAAGTGGTATAATAAGGTGAGCGATATTGAGGTGAGGCTTCGGTCGAGTTCTAGGTAATGAGGGAGGGGAAATCAATCGATGAGGCTATGGAATTACATCGACTGAGATGGTTAGGACATGTGTTTCGTATGCCCACCCTATCCATCACCTTCCTCGATGGGCGATGTTAGCTGACATACGGTCATGCTGGAAAAGAACTAGCGACGGTCAAGCCAAAACATGGCCTCATCAGTCAATGAAATCCACAACAGTTGGCTTAAGCTAGCCACAAAGGAAAGTGTAGACTTCCTGACCAGTCGGGGTCCTCGGGACGGTGAAAAACAAATGAAGACAATTGGTGATATGGCTCACAATCCTTATAGTGAACGGCGCAGATGCATCTACTCCTAGTGACTTATGATTTCCAATGAAAATGTTTTGTTCTTCGTTATTACTATTCCTTTGTGTCACACCTCTGTTTACTGTCTCTATTATACATATACATATATACATATAAAAGACAGCCAAGGGAAGCCCATTACCAAGGAAGAAAAACAGATTAAACAATGGGCGGATCACTTCAAAGGACTCTTTAATCGACCACCATCTGAACCTGTCCAGAAATACCAACAACAGCGCGTACACAACTGCAAGTTGACACCAATCCTCCAACGAGAGCTGAAGTCTTGAACGCAATCAAACTTCTGAAAGCTGGAAATCAGCCGAACCAGATGGAATACCCTCTGAAGCACTGAAAGCAGACCCAGAGACGACAGCAGACATGCTGACTCCATTATTGCAAAAGGTCTGGAAGGAGGGAAAGGTGCCTACTGACTGGAGGAAAGGTTACCTCGTGAAACTACCAAAGAAGGGCGACTTACGCCTCACTCTGCAAGAACTGGCGAGGAATCCTGCTCCTGTCGACGCCAAGTAAAATCCTGAGTCATATCATCCTGGAGAGAATAAAGGACACACTGGATGCAGAATTCCGACCAGAACAGGCTGGATTCAAGAAAGGCAAATCATGTACTGACCAAATTGCAACTCTACGCATCATCATCACAGAACAAAGCATGGAATGGCAATCAAACCTCTACCTCGACTTTACAGACTTCGAGAAGGCCTTCGACAGACAACGTTGACCGCGAAGTAATTTGGAAACTCCTCGAGTACTACGGCGTACCCCAAATATTCATCAACCTTATTCAACAGCTGTTCGACAACGGCACATCTCAAGTGATCCATAACGGAAAATTCAGCAAGGCGTTAGGAGTAAACACAGGAGTCAGATAAGGGTGCTTATTATGTATCACCGATGATATTCCTAATTGTGGTGGACTGGATTATGCGTCAGACTGTGGGAAACGAGAAGACAGGAATATCCTGTTTGGACCGACGCGAAGAACTCAGAAAACCTGGATCTCGCGCGTGGATGATTTATGTTTGATGTCACACAAAATCGAAGACTTACAAGCGAAAACCGACAAACTGGTTGAAGAAGCAGTTGGCGAAGACAGGACTCCATGTGAACATAGACAAGACGGAGGTTATGAAAATAACCAACCAACAACAACAACAACATCCAACGCCAATCACCATCAACGGGAGGGATTTGAAAGAGGTTACTTCATTCACTCACTTATCTAGGGAGCATTATCTCAACTACACGAAGTCGGAACGAACGAGGATGTCAAATCGAGCGAGAATCGGGAAGGCGAGAAACACATTCATCAGCCTGAAATCAATCTGGAAATCTTCGTCACCAACAATATTCGGATTTTCAATACAAACGTAAAGTCAGTCAGTTCTTCTATACGGATCAGAAACTTCGCGGGCGGGTCACAAAGAATATTTCCAAAAGGCTGCAGACCTTTATTAACAACTGTCTTCGCTGGATCTAAACTGAAGATCAGATGGCCGGAAAGAATCACCAACAAGGAATTATGGGAACAAACAAAGCAAGAACCAATCGCCCAACAAATATGCAGGAGAAAGTGGAGATGGATCGGACACTTGCTGAGGAGACCGCTGGGTGACATCGCGCGTCAAGCCCTCGAGTGGAACCCGAAAGGGAAGCGGCGTGTGGGACGTCAGTGCAAGGGTGACATGGAGGAGATCGTGTGAAGAGGAGTTGAAAGAATATGGATTAACATGGATGCAGGCGAAAAGTATAACAGAAGACAGAAGAAAATGGAGACGTGCAGTTGAAGACCTATGTTCCACTAGGAACCCAAGGGAGCAATAATAATAATAAAATAATTATACATTTCTTGTACTTTTTCTCTTCCTTTGTGTGCTGCAAGGAGGGAGTGTGGCAACTTGAACTGCTGCACATCGGTGCAAAGTTCTATGTCGAAAGCACCGAAATTTGGCATTTGGTGTTTTCCTCCTTTTGTAAATAAGAAAAACTCCCAAGTAGCGAATACAACTCATTCGTCAGAAGATATGAACGTGTGGCCGTGGATGTGAGAGCATTTTGAGAATAAGGTCAGAGTGTAACAACCACTCGATTTTAGGGATGATATCGGTCAAATCACAAACTAGGAATTTGATCAACACAGTCATTATGGTTAATTCTACATAGTTCTGCATAGTATTCATAACTGTGATCTGTTTTGAAGTTAACGAATCCATTCAGTTGTCACTTCGATTCATGTTGATGTGTACACTTTGTGAACAGGTGTGAACCAACCTATAGGACAGTGAACACACCAGTGACCTTGAACACATGCTGTCCATTGGATTTCAGAATCTGCTGTTAGTTCAGGTGCCAGTGTGAATGCTGTGCACGAATTGAGGTACAACTTTCATCCTCATTTGTCTTTTAAGTACCGTTTGAACAATCGGTTGGTAGAACGTTAGGGTGTTTTATGATTGTTAGTATTTTTATAGTAAATCTATATTTAAGAGGAGAGTATTTGAGGAAAATAAAAAACAAATTCATCAGCGAAGAAAATTTTCTTTATCGACGAAATCATCTTCACAGGCTGGCTGTACAGTCGTATTTATACTTACAAAAAAAAGTATAGTGGTCTATTATTGAGTAATACGGGGTGACATAATTGATGTAATTACTCGGAAGTAAAAAATTAAAAGTTTTAAATTACGTGATACTCAACGATGGCAAAAAGATAGAAATTTGATAACGTTAAAATTGCTATTGAGTGAGTGAGTATAAAGGTGGTAGTTGAGTGTCAATTTAACAAGTGTGAAGAGGGTGTGAAAATGTACCAGAGGAACATGTGAGAGTGATAATAGTGAATTAATTATTAAAGCAAAAGCAAACTAAAAGTAAAATTAAAAAGAAAAGAAAAATCAGAATTTTTTGTTTTAACAGGGAACGATTAGTGAAGAGGTTAAGACCAAGGTAGAATTCGAGACTGAACAAACTTTTTCTGTATACAGAGTTCAGGGTTGTATTGACGAATTGCCAGCGCCTCCGCCATACACAAAAGCCGAAACCTGATGTCCTTTGTACCATTTGACCTCACCTTGTAGATGATGTTGAAAGACGACTCTGGTGGAGCTACATGGCCTGAGTTCACCGAATGCTCGAGAATTGAGCTAGTAATTGTCTAGCATTGTCATTTTGCTAACCATACCGGATAATGTTCAGAGATGCGTTTGGAAAGTGTGCGACCAATATAACTAGCTGTATACAGAAAAAGTGTGTCCAGTTTGTTATTCTACCCTAGTCTTAACCTCTTCACAAATCGTTCCCTGTAAAAAATTTTGGTTTTTTCTTTTTCTTTTTTAAATTTTATTTTTAGTTTGTTTTTACTTTAATAATTAATTCACTATTATCACTCTCACATGTTCCTTTTGTATATTTTTACACTCTCTTCACACTTGTTATGTGTTATGGCTCAAAATCGTTGTCAATGGCCAGCGAAGATGTATTCAGTCTCCGTAATCTTTCATATTCCTTTCTACCATTACCCATTCTGTTTCACTCTTATACTTGTCAGACTGTATTGATTCTCTTCGCTCATCTTCTTGTCTACTTTTGTGTGTAGTATTTGGAACGTGGCAACTCGAACTGGTGCACTTCGGGGCCAAGTTCTATGTTGAATCCAGACAGACAGACAGACTTCACACTTGTTATGTGACTTAATGGTGTACGAGTTCGCCCTGTAACCGAAAGGTCCTGGGTTCGAACCCAGGGGTAGATGCGTACTAATGAGGAGTTTTAAACTAGGACGGAACAGCTGTTCAGTACTCTCTACTAGTTTTCTAATGGTTCTCTAACCGATATCAGCTTATGATGAGAAATTTAGAGAATCTGAGCAGTTGAAAGGGAATGTTAGCATGGATTTTGTCATAAATTGACATCAGTTGGAGTATCCTTGAAAATTAAAGAGCACTGTTTTCCCCTAGTGTGAAACTCCTGAGAGTGCATCTCAAGACTCTACTAGGGATCGACTAATAAATAATTCAATAACTAATATCGTCTGGTAACAAAATCTACGTGGATATTATTCGAAACCCGCCCCCCGCCCCTACAAACACAGTATGTGAAAAGCAGAGGTGTTACAGAAAGTACTCTTTTCATTTAAGTCTTATTTGATGGTAAAATTATAATACTCATTCATAATATCAGTTAGAAAAACGAGAGAATAATGGGGGTGGCATAGCGGTTAGCACGCTCGCCGACCATGCACATGGTCCGGGGATCGATTCCCGGCCGGTGATGCACTCCTTTACCTCGCTAAGCCAGAAATAATCCTGGTAAAGAGGAAAGGTTGGGCATGAGGCTAGCAACCTCATCCTGTAAAATAAACACTGCTACAGAAACTAGGTTGAAGCCGCCCTATGTTCCACAGGGGAACGTGAAGGAAAAATTATTTATTATTATTTTAATGGGGAGAATTAAACATTATTAAGCCATACACCGAGTGATAGAAAAATCAGACGATCAAAGCACATTTTACTTACCTAATCACACGAATTAGTGTTATTATTATTATTATATTGTTACTAATGATATTCTTGATTGTGGTAGACTGGATTATGCGGAACACTGCGTGGACAGTGGGAAAACAAGAGTTCACTGGACCGATACGAAGACTCTAGAAGATGTGGACTTCGCAGACGAATTATGCGTAATTTCACAGAAATGCGAAGACTGATAGGCAAAAACCAACAAGCTGCCAACATTCACTGTCCACTATCAACGGAAAATATATATATATATATATATATCTATCTAGCTGTACACCGTCGTCTCAACTACAGGCGACCTCACGAATTAGGATATCAAAGGCAGGCATGATCGGAAAGGCAAGATAGACCTTCATCACTGAAGTCGATTTGAAAATATTCCGCACTCAGCATAGAGAACAAAATTCGGATTTTCAATGCCAATGTTAAATCCGTTAGGTATTCTATATGGGTCAGAAATGTGGAGCTGTCGTCACAAAAAGCATTTCAAACAGGATAGCTGCCTTCGTTGGTTTCATATTGAAAATCAAATGGCCAGAAACATAATCTTGGAACGAACCAGTTATGAACTTGTTTATTCAACAAATATCCCAAAGAAATTGAGGCTGAATTGAACGCACACTAGGGAGACCGTCAAGTAACTTCGCCAACTAGGCCATCAAGTGCGAGACGAAGAGTTTGACGTGAGTGTAAGGGTGATATGGATGAGATCGTGCGATTAGAAGATGAGAGACTATGGGTACTCGTGGATTCAGCTGAAGAGGAATGCAGTGAACAAGATGAAATGAAGATGTGCTCTTGTAGCCCTAAGTCCCACTTGGAACCCAAGGGAAAAAAAATAAATAATATTACCACCGAGTGAGGCGGAGATGAATGGAGTATTTTGGCTTGTAATTGAAGACAGTAATGTGATTTTACTCATTTTGTACTACTGTAGGGGGGGGGGGTATTTAGTTTTCTTAACACCTTTCACATATTCAGAAGTTCATATTTTGTGTGTTCGTTGGATTAGATCGTTTTGATTTCAATGTTGACTTCTTCACCTTCTTACACTAACCAACAAGCCATTGAAAAGCCGCTTTCACACTGGACAGTTGTTTCGTCCCAGTTTGGGCTTCTTCAGCAATATTCACTGGCCATATAGACATTTATACAATAGATTATTAAGCCAAGTATTTTCTGTATAAACTTATGCTAAACGTTTCCAAACGTAATTTATACTCGAATGATGAATTATGTAATGGTCAGTAAGAGTTAGAGATTTTCCATAACTAGAGAAATTTTCTATCGTACATCTGGTAGCTGATAATCTGATACCAGGTACAAGTGTAGCGTTGGGAGACAAGAGAACTTGGTAACGGACCTTCATTAAGGAGAAACCCCATCATATTTATACATTTTTAACCACACTAAAATTCGGCTAGGTGAGCGGATCGTTAACTGTTCTGATTGGTTGATTGACCCAAGATTGAACAATGAGACGAGAATTTTGTCCAATGAGATTAATTTCTGATCAAACCGTGAACTAGTGCCAGATTTTAGGAATAAACACTTCTGCCTTTGCAGTGAGTGATTGGCGTAAAATGTTGACTTCAATGTTGGTTTCTCCCTATCAATCTGCATCTACATACTACTTATAAATCTTGTCAGTAGTACCCATCACAAAAATAGTTAACATGGGTTTTTGAATGTGAAGTACACATAAATTGAAAGTGAGGATGCTTAAAATCAATGTAAACCATGCTTCAAAGTTTGATCACAAGCTGACTTCAGAACTTCGGTGAACCACTAGAAACATTCTTGTCGTGGCCCTTTCTGCACCAGTATTCACTCATGATCCCATTGGCGATTAAAACGCCTAGACTTAAGGCTAACAGAAGAGAATTCGTTAGCCATTCAACCAGTGGGACGATATTTAAAAATAAAAGATTGGATAGTGGGAAGTAAGACAATTCACAGATGTGATAATTCTATTAAATTCGAATACTTGTGTCATTATTATGGTATGAATTGGTCATTATACATGAAGTAATTTTGTGAATGGTGACTAGCAGTGGAATCCTGTATTATGCACATCTCATCCCATCTGGGACTCGTCAGCTGGATGTTTCTGCATTCCCTAATGAGCGATGGTGTGTTTCCACCGAGGTTGTAACAAGAAAATAAAAATTGAATTATAAACAATCACTGACATCCGCCGTTGCGCAATAGGGTGGCTGTCGTGGCCCAAGTGGTCTAGTGGAGGGCACTTTAGTGTGTTTGGAGCCATGGGTAGTGGGTTCAAGTCTCAGTGGAGGCATCATCCCTCACTCACTCACTGGGGGATGCAGCTACGCCCGGATGATGAGTCCCAAAGTGGGACGAAATGCGTGTCCTGGATTCTATTGCTAGTCACCACCAATCAACTGACTTCAAGGTAATTATCAGACATGGTTGAAACATCCACACTACATCGACGCCTAATTTAAAAATAGGAAGTGAAGTGGTAGAGCACGTTGACCGTTTCACTTATTTGGGAAGTTGCATCAGCCAGCCAGTCCAATGGATTGATCTCTGACGAAATCTCGCCACGGATACAGAGGACTAGTTTCGCATATGCTAGTTTACACCGTCTCTGGCATAGACGCGATATGCGGCTGGCTACTGACCAAAGGGCGGGTGTACTGCTCATCAGTCCGCTCCGTCCTCCTTCATGGCTGGCTGTGGGACCTGGCCACTGAGAGTGGAAGACATGAAAAGATTATCTGTCTTTGATCATAGGTGCCTGCGTTCTATCTCCCTCCCGTGTGAAGTGGTATAATAATGTGAGCAATATTGAGGTTAGGCTTCGAGTTCTAGGTAAACATGGGAAATCAATCGACGAAGTCGTGAAGTTACATAGACTGAGATGGTTAGGACATGTGTTACGTATTCCAAGCCATCGCCTCCCTCGACGAGCAATGTTAGCGGATATAGGGTCAGGCTGGAAAAAAGCTAGCGGCGGTCAAACAAAAACATGGCCTCACCAGTCAATGAAATCCACAACAGTTGGTCTAAGCCACGTAGGAAGGTGTAGACTGGCTTCCTGGTTGGGGTCCTCGGGACGGTAAAAATCTATGGTTGGAAACAATTGGTGACATGGCTCAAAATCGTTCTCAGTGGCTAGCGAAGATGCATCCACTCCTTGTGACTTATGATCTCCAATGAAACTGTTTTGTTCTTCGTTATTACTCCTCCTTTGTCTCACACCTCTGCTCACTGTCTGTATTATGCTTTTCTTGTACTTCCTTCTCTTGCTTCGCGTGCTACACGGAGTGTGGCGACTTGAACTTCCGCACATTTGTACAAAGTTCTATGTCGAAAACAGACAGACAGAGACAGACCACACAAGCAGCTGAACATGTCGGTCCAACCAGTCAACGTGAAAATCATGGTATTTGGTTGTATCTTGTAAAATTACCAGTAGGTTTCTTTCACTGATATATTATCGTTTTTCCTCTCCTTTATTCAATTTCTTCTTAAGGATCATGACTTCAGAAGATGCTGCTGATGAAGATAAACAGAAAACGCCATTAGCTTTACCAACACAACCATATTGTCGTATTCATTGTCGTCAATCCGCTGTACGTGCAGCACGTTTTAATGCTGATGGAAATTATTGTATGACAGCTGGTGGAGATAAAACTATAAAATTATGGAATCCATATAATTGTCGTTTATTGAAAACGTATACAGGACATGGTGGGGAAGTATCTGATGTACAGGTGAGTGTCAAGTCTCTCTTTATTTATGTATATATGTATGTCTTGAATGGTTGGAGGCAGTCTGTAGGAAGCCTTGGACCTAAATTTTTTGCTCCTTCGTCGGACACTACCGACCACCCACCAGTTGGAAGGGAAGTTCGAAAGGAACTCCAAGTGTTGAAAGGTGATAAGGCGCCTGGGTCAGACAATCTAACCCCGTCTCTTTTTTAAAAGATGATGATGGTGGTGAGATTCCCGTTATGGCTTTAACTGAGAGTTGTTCAGGAAAGTATGGGAAAATGAGGATTTTCTATTAATGTCCAATGAAGTCGTCATCGTTCCCATCTTTATAAAGGGTCGACGTAACACATGTGACAACCATAGGAGAATCATATTGTTGCAAGTTGTGTCTAGAATACTGGCTCTGAATAGAGGAAGAACAACAGTGGTTTTCGGAGAATAATATGTTACCATCATTGTTTACTTTTCAGCTTCACATCATCTGCTCACACCTCAAATAAATTAATAATAAGTTTATGTACAGAAAAGTTTTAACAATGCAAATTTTACATGATGTTAGTTGACAGGAGGTTCTGGACTTAGTGAACAGTGTTCAGAAAATTACACTTATGTAGTTTTTACACAAGGAGTTTAAGTTTAAACAAAAATCAGTGTATGTATACTATTGTAAAGGAATTGGTTAAGTAGTAAAGACAAATGGTGAGTAAGCTTTTTTTCCTTCACGTTCCCAGTGGATCATAGGGCGTCAAGCTAGTGGCTTGAAGTTTCTGTAGCAGTGTTTATGATATGTATCCACATATATATATTTATGTGTGTGTGTGCATGTTGGTCTCTCTTTCTGTTTGCTCGGTTAGTCTGTGACCACTTCACTTGTATGAACTTGTCTCCTTTAATAATGTGTATTCTCCTTATATTATATTATATATAATATGAGTGTTTGTTGACAGTCCGTTGCTTGGTGACATATATCCATATATGTTTGTTGGCATGTCTGCTATATTCGCTATGTATAATTGGATCGACACTCCATTATAATTAGCCATTCATGTTAAGACTGTCTAATGATTTTTCCCACGCTTGTCTGAATTATTTATATATATTCGCATTCACAATTTGTGTGAACTACTTTACTTTACAACTACTTTACTTACTTACCACTTTGGTGTGAGACCATTTATTTTCGTCTCCTTGTGTTTGGACAATAGAAGTATCATCGCAAACCTAGTGGTCTTCTGATTTCCGCCTTCTCGCGTCAGGACTATTAGTTTCTCGACCAGTCCATAACAATAATTCAGCGACGAGTACATAACAATTTGGCGACGGGGAAAACTACTATTAACCACTCAGCAGCAGCAACATAACAATTTACTATGGATTATTCTAAATTGGAATTATTGTTTGAACAACAATTGAAATTAATGGAAATGTTCGTCAACCAACAGACTGGTCCAGCTCCACCTTCAAGCAATCCCAATCATACCATGCTACCATCTGTCGACGGAATTGTGAACAGCATTTCACAGTTCAATTATGACCCAGAGGCTAATGTCACTTTTGACACATGGTATCAACGTTATGAGGATTTATTCACTGTTGATCTCGCCTCACAAGACGATGCCTGGAAGGTGCGAGTTTTGCTACGTAAATTGGGTCCGGCAGAATATGAACGGTACTGCAACCTAATTTTACCACAGAAACCACGTGACAATTGTTTCGATGATACAATAAAGTTGCTGCGTGAACATTTCGGAGACCACTCCTCATTATTCAGTATACGTTATCGTTGCCTCAAGCTGGCAATGAATGAAAATGATGATTTTCTTACTCACGTTGGCACAGTCAACCGAGAATGTGAGAGATTTCGACTCAGGTCCTTAACAGATGATCAGTTCAAAGCCTTGATTCTCATATGCAGTCTCCAATCTCCTCGTTTCACAGATATCCGAACTCGACTGCTCAATCAGCTAGAACAAAATCCCAAGTTAACATTACATGACATAGCTGATGAATATCAACGGCTGATTAATCTGCAGAAAGACACACACCTGGTCGAATCAACACCTCCGAGAAGCTCTGATATTCGTGCATTACGCAAGAGCAAAAATCTCTCATCAGCTACTCCTGACCCACCTACTTCTCTAATGTCCCGCGGAAATCTATACATACTCGTCCAACTTCACAAAATACTGCAAAGAAGACCCCACCATCACCATGCTGGCATTGTGGCGCGTGGCACTTTGTAAAGTCTTGCCCATACAAAAATCATCGTTGCAGCAAGTGCAAATCATCGGTCACAAAAATGGTTTTTGTCAGCCACGCAACCCAGATATCAAAATCCAGCAAAAGCTCAACAAAATGTTGGTCCTAAATCCCCAAAAAGTCATTGAGTCTACGCGCAACCCGTCAAGTCACAACACCAGCTATGCGGAAATATATTGACCTTCAGATGAATGGTCATGATACTCGTCTGCAGCTAGATACTGCCTCTGATATTACTGTTATATCAGAGAAACTTTGGAATTATATTGGCAGACCACCTATCACCAATACTTCCCAGTCTCTTCTCAGCGCCTGTGGTGGGCGGCTCAAACTAATTGGTGAACTCAAATGTTCTGTTTCCTTCCGCAATACCAAATTCACAGGAATTTGTTACGTCACGAAGAATGATTTAAATGTTTTGGGACTTGATTGGTTCGATCGTTTGCATCTGGCTGATGTCCCACTAAATTCTCTACGCAATACAGTGAAGAAGCATAAAATGCTAGACAATTCCGGACGGAGCCGAAGCCGCAAACCCAACAATCAGACGAAACGACAGGCGTCAACAACAAGCCCAAAGGTCCCAGATAAACCCCCAGGTAAACATCCTACTAATCATTCATCTTCTCAAAAGGGGAGGTGATATGTATCCACATATATATATTTATGTGTGTGTGTGCATGTTGGTCTCTCTTTCTGTTTGCTCGGTTAGTCTGTGACCACTTCACTTGTATGAACTTGTCTCCTTTAATAATGTGTATTCTCCTTATATTATATTATATATAATATGAGTGTTTGTTGACAGTCCGTTGCTTGGTGACATATATCCATATATGTTTGTTGGCATGTCTGCTATATTCGCTATGTATAATTGGATCGACACTCCATTATAATTAGCCATTCATGTTAAGACTGTCTAATGATTTTTCCCACGCTTGTCTGAATTATTTATATATATTCGCATTCACAATTTGTGTGAACTACTTTACTTTACAACTACTTTACTTACTTACCACTTTGGTGTGAGACCATTTATTTTCGTCTCCTTGTGTTTGGACAATAGAAGTATCATCGCAAACCTAGTGGTCTTCTGATTTCCGCCTTCTCGCGTCAGGACTATTAGTTTCTCGACCAGTCCATAACAATAATTCAGCGACGAGTACATAACAGTTTAATTTTACAGGATGGGCGAGTTGTCATCTGAAGTGACGATGACTAGTGGTATCCGTCAAGGATGACCATTATCCCCATTTCTATTCAACTTCATCATAGATGTACTTATGGACTTAATTTTAACTCACTTCAGCGACTCAGGGATCGACTTGCTACCAGGAAGTTATCTCACTGACTTACAATATGCAGACGATGTAGTCCTTCTAGGTGAGGACGCTGACAAAATGCGGAGTCTTCTGAACACCTTGAGCTGCAATGTACGAATGTTTGGCATGTGGTTCGCTCCCCCTGTCAAGTGTAAGGTGATGTGTTACAGGACTGGACTTCACTGACTTCTAGTTTAGAAATAGGAAGTGAAGTGATAAAGCACGTTGACCACTTCACTTACTTGGGAAGTACCATCAGCCAGTGCCAACGGGTTGATCTCTGATGAAATCTCAGAACGGATATAGAGGGTTAGTTTCGCATATGCCAGTTTACGCCGTCTGTGGCGTAGACGTGATATCCGGCTGGCTACCGACCAAAGGGCGGGTGTACTGCTCATCAGTCCGCTCCGTCCTCCTTCATGGCTGGCTGTGAGACGTGGCCATTGAGAGTGGAAGACATGAAGAGGCCGGTTAGCTGTGTTTGATCATAGGTGCCTGCGTTCTATCTCTATCTCCCGTTGTCCCCTGGGCTCTGCGGTCACGCAACCAACTTCCACGGTGTGGGCAGCCGGGAAGTAACAAACACCCTCACAATCCGAAATGCACACAAAACCTCTCTAATCCCGTGTGAAGTGGTATAATAATGTGAGCAATATTGAGGTTAGGCGTCGAGTGCTAGGTAAACAGTGGAAATCAATCGACGAGGTTGTGAAGTTACATCGACTGGGATAGTTAGGATATGTGTTACGTATGCATGCCTAGTCATCATCTTCCTCGACGGGAAATGTTAGCTGACATAAAGTCAGGCTGGAAAAAAGCTAGAGGAGGTCAAACAAAAACATGGCCTCACCAGTCAATGAAATCCACAACAGTTAGTTTAAGCCAGCCGCCACGTAGGAAGGTGTAGACTGGCTTCCTGGTTGGGGTCCTCGGGACGGTAAAAACCAATGAAGACTGGAGACAAATGGTGATATAGCTCAAAATCGTACTCAGTGGCTGGGGCAGATGCATCCACTCCTTGTGATTTATGATTTCCAATGAAACTGTTTTGTTCTTCGTCATTACTCTTCCTTTGTCTCACACCTCTGCTTACTGTCTCTACTCACTTACTTGTCTTTATTGCGTTACATCTTTATCATTGTATACATACACTGATTGTTTAAACCTGAGCTCCCTGTGCGAAAGCTGTATAAGTGTAGTTTGCTAAGCATTTTCATACAGCCGGTTCCCTTTATTAGTTTGAATAAGAAAAAAACGAAATCGAAGTCAAGATTGAGTGAAATGTTACGCAACAGGACAAAACAATTATGGTTACCAAGGTAGTGAAAGATTAATCACACTACCTTTCTCTATGCATAGGTTGGGTTGAAAAGTATTTTGATGGTAATGGCTTCTGCCAACCGAAGTAACTATTGCTTTCTT